ACGGGGCCACGCACTAGCACTGACGCCGCGTGGCCAAGAGCAAACAGTGATGGCAAGAACAGACGAGTAAGCAGCAGGCACTGGCCCGGGGTGAACTGGTCCCCATGCCACCCTCAATTTCAGTGAGCACCTCACTGAAAATTGGAGAAGAGCCCACATAGGTCTGAAAGGAGTCCTGCTGTTTGCCTTTCTCAAATGCCCATGTCCATCTGTCTGCCGCTGGGCAGGCTCGCCAAGGAGTCTGGGCCCCTGGTAAGGACCGTTCTTGGCTGGTGTGCCATCAGCTCATGCTAAGTGCCTAGTATCTATTCCCTCTCTCTCTGTTTCTCCCCCACTCTTGCTCTCTGTCTCTTTTAATGGCTTCTTTCTTAGACCGGGTCCAGCCCCCTCTGCTGACCGGCCTTGCACTCCACCGCCGACTACAGGACGGCACTGGGTTGGCGTTAGGGTTAAGCTGTCGTGACTGCAGCTCCTGAGGCAGAACTGGTTGACACACAGCCCCTGAGCAGTGTCCGCCCGGGCCTCTGTGAGCAGCTTCTTGGCTCCGAGGCTTGGCCCCTTCTTGGTCTCAGGACACTGCTCTGCACACCACAGATGTCTGCTCTGCTCAGGACCCCACTGCGGCTGCTTCCTCCTCACGGGGCCCCTAGCTCCTGTGGCAGCTCCGCTCTGAGTCTGTTCTCTGTGGGCCGGCTCACCCACCTCCACCATCTGCTGGTCTTCTGGTCCCATTGCTCCAATGGCCACTGCTCCAAAGAACACGCTTCTTTCCGGGCATTTGTCCCTCGCGAGGTCCCCCAGACCTCTGAGACGCTGGCTGATTGTATCAGAACACTCTATCGGTTTTACGGCACCGCTTTGACAAACAGGCCAGTCCTTAAATGGATCAGTCATAAACTGACCGATCCTGTTAGATGGCTCTTCGAGTCTGACAGCAAGCCCACTACTCATCCCCACAGGCCATGTACACAGATAAGCTGATCCGTCCACTGCAGACTGTTCACGTGACGCGCAGAGCAGCCAGACCTCTGCGGGATTGCCACCTGACCACTGGGGTCATTCCAGACCCAGAGCCAGAAGGGCCACATGAGAGAACACCCACTCACACAGATGACCACATGTTTAGCTGCCTGAAATAACACATCCTCCTGCCCTCTCACGTCCCGTGGGCCGGGGCTCTGGCTGGGGCTTGGCTGGGTCCTCTGCTCAGAGTTGTGCGACGCTGTAATTAAGTCCTTGGCCATAATTAGTCATCTGAGGCCCTGACTGGTAGACAGAATCCCACTCTGCTGTTAGGACATTTCTTGCTCACTGTCAGCCAGAAGCCAGCCGGGGCTCAGTGTTTCCTGTCACATGGGGCTCCCCTGCGTGGTCACTCGCATCCTCAATGCTTGTCAGGGAGAGAGGAGGGGACACCGCAGCCCTACAGCACGTCGTCACGGCTCACGCGCATGTAGTCTGTCTGAGAAACAAGACGGGTCACACCACACTCAGGGAGTATGGAAGCCAGGAGGGTCATGGGCCTTTGCCCATCACAACCCACCCTCTGGCCCCCAGGACCTTGGCACATGCAAAAGGCACCCCCCCCCCCCACACCCACACACATACCAAAACACCCAAGCGCACACACACACACACACACACACACACCAAGAACCTCATCCCATCACAGCATCTTTGCACAGCTCCGATTGCGTGCTGCTGTGGCGTCCGGCCATAGCCTCCCTCCGTGCGTCCATCTGTAAAGCGAAAGGTCGGATCATCTGCTCCCCACATGCCGAGTGCAAGTGAGGCTGTGAGATCCTTCTGGACTCAGGCCTCATTCCAGTCTCAGCCTTGACTCTCATGCACACATCACATCCTCTGGCCCCTCTGCTCCCTGGAGAGGAAAGTGAAGGTTAGCAGAGCCCGCACAGAGCAAAGGCCGGCTCAGCCCTGCTCAGCAGGGTGACAGTGCCCAAGTGTGCAAGTGACCTGGCTCCACGAGGTGAGGGGTGGGCCTTACCTGTGCGGGAAAGGTAGCACGGGAGGAGCCAGCCTAGGTGTGTGCAGACGTTGGAATAATAAGCAGATGCACACGTTATTTGAGCTGTAGGACTTCATTGGTCCCATGCGAAGCTCCCTCTGTGTACACGGACTTGGTCCATGCCAGCAGCCTGGCTGTCTTGGGGCTAAACCCCAAGATCTCACAGAGAGCACCCCTCAGAGGCCATCCCTAGCAACAGGCCTGTGCGGACATCGTGACACATGCAGTGTGCAGATCCTAGCTCCCCATTGGATAGCCCAGATCAGTTCTTCAAAGTCTGTATGAAAAGAAAGCGCCAAAGCTCTGTGGTGGGTCCTGCCGGGGTTGTGGGACTGAGACCTGGGGCTCAGAAGCCCCTGGACGCGCGGCTGCCTTGCCCCCCAGCCACACTTCGCTCTTGTCTGCCCCGTTCCAAAGCCCTCCTCCTGCGGGGCAGTCAACACTGCGTTTTGTTTCGTCCCCAAAGGATGGAGCGTTGGCACGGTCACCATCAGGCTGTCATGCCAGAGATGATCGAAGGGACGCTACGCAATCTCAGTGCGTAGATTTTTCTAACCTCACAAAGGACTCAGGTGTAGTTGAGCTGGCTGTATTTAAATACGTTTGAAACTTGGGAATAAGAAGGGGCTCCTGCATCTTTTTTTTGGTGGGGAGGGGACAGTTCTCTACAATTCTGTCATGTTCTGTTCGTTTCTAGTGTTCCAGTAATAAAACTAGCCATTTATTGAGCACCTACTAAGTGTCAGGCAATACTGTTGTACCAAATCTTTTTCTCCACTCCACAGCAGCAGATACTGTTTCAAAGACAGGAGACTCAGAGGCTAGTCAAGGGCCCACAGCTTCTCACTGATAGCCGGCAGATACCAGGCGTTTCCCCCTTAGTGTGTCTACAGCAGACTCGCCCGCGGTTTCTTAGTGTGAGCGCTGCAGAGAGGCCGGGCAGGCAGCCTGGCGCCCTGAGCACAGGGCTGGATCCGTCAAACCCAGTGTCCACGACACCGGTCTCTTCCTGTCTGCTCAGCCGCCTCATCCCCTTCCCCTTCACGTTCTGGCCCCACTGGCCTTTCTCCTGGGGGTGGCTGCTTCCAGGTACGCTCCAGGAGGGCTCCACTCACAGGGACCCCGCGTGGCAGATAGACTGTCCCCAGTGTCTAAGCTGCCATCTGTATGGAAGCCGATGGTCGGGGCTTGCACCCTGGGCCTCTGGCCAAAGTCCACAGCTCCCCTTGGGCTGCTCCACAGTGCAGTGCAAGGGGAGGGCGGGGGGTGTACCTGGCACTCTCCCAGGGCTCAGGGTCCTACTCTGAGGGGGAAGAGACTCTCTCTCCCTGGGAGAGCTGGCAAACCATTAGAGGCAGCGAGTGATTAAGACCATTCATTATGTGTGGATCATTGCAGTCGGATCCCCTTCCTCCCCTCCTCTCCCCACCTTCCCGCTGCCCTCCTAGTATTGCTGCTACCATGCCTGTCCCTGGATTCAGTATGTCGTGAGCCCTTATCTGTGCCCAAGCTCCGGTCTAGCCCGGAGTGAAAGACAGGACTAAGGTCATGATAGCGGACCGTGGGGGAAAGGAGACGCAGTCTATGTGAGATATGGAAATAATAATCATTTAAAATTTATCAAGGGGTCACCAGGGTGGGAACGGGGAGAGAGGGAAAAAGGAGAAGCTGATACCAAGGGCTCAATAAAAAGTAAATGTCTAGAAAAGAATGATGGCAATGTATGTACAAATATACCTGATACAATTGGAGTATGGATTGTTATAAGAGCTGAAAGAGCCCCAAATAAAACGATCTTTTAATTAAAACAAAGAAAACAAGTAAATCAAACAAACAGACAAAAATGGCCACTCATTACCTCACTGCTGGGAAGATTCTAGGTACTTCTCTGGCTTTGGGTGATGCTGCCGTCACATCCGGAGTAAACTGCTCTCTGGTTTTCTCGCAGTTGTAAGGGCGTATTCATCTTGTCTATCGAAATAGCAACATGGCGTTCAGTTTTTTAGAAATGGTGATATAGCATGTCTTCTAGGATTTGGAGAAATGGGCACCTTTAAGCACGGTGGGCAGAGTAAGTTTACTGTGCCACCCTGCCCGATAAACACATGGGTCCATTGAAGGGCGGAGGGATAAATGGCCCAGTGAGCCTCCCCTTTCGAGTTCTCAGGTCTCTTGCTTTGTGATGGTCGGACCAGGGTGCAGCTGCCTAAGCAGTTCCCAGCTTCAGCTGGCAAGGCTGACTTCTTGCAAGACATCTCCAAGGAGAAGCCACATGGACCTACCCCGATGCAGCCCTGGGTGCTGGAGTACCTGTGTGGAGACCCTGCCAGCGCTGAGATGCTTACACATTCACTGACTTGGCTTTCCCCCTGCAGTCAGTGTCATTGCGTCTGTTTTGTGAGATGGAGGAGGACTTTGTGGATTGGTGTCAGACATATGGGTTAATGGGTTAATATTGGACGTGTGGGCTTGGGCAGCACTGGGTGGGGATGTTTTCTTGATGCGCACTTACCTCTTAGACATGAGTTTCTGTGGATTTGTTTCTCTAAAGCACCCAGACTAACACACAGCCTCCGTGCAGTCTTCAGAAAAGTAATCTGGTTTTCCTAAAGGAACTCTTTTTAAAATAGACTGTATTGTGGTTTGAGGGCCGTGAGTCTACACTGTGCCATCTGTTCTGTTGTTAGGAGCCCCAGTGGCGCAGTGCGGGGAGCGCTGGGCTGCCAGCAGGAAGGTCAGTGGTTTGAGCCCACCATCCACTCTGAGGGAGGGAGGAGAGGCAGTTCCCTCCCGCAGATCGGCAGCCGTGGATGCCTTTGAGCCGTTCTGCTCTGTCCCACGGCAGCATCAGTGCGCCAGCACGCTCACTGTGTCCGTCTGGTTGTCTTGTGTATATCCATCTAGCTTCCCAACCCCTGCCCTTGTCATCCTGGGTCCTGGTAAATGCTTACTGTTTGGTTTCATTTCCGCTGAGTTTTAGAGGACCTCAGTTCTCCACAAGCGATACCATTTAGTTTACACGCCTCCGTCATTTGGCTGAGAGGTGACCTCTAAGCATGGTCTGGGTGCGAAGGTGAAAGGACATGCCGGGCAGTAGGCGCAGAGGCTCCTCGATCTCCCCTCGGCCTGTGAGTCTGGCTGTGTTGTAGGGTTCCGAGTTCTGCCTGATGTTTTGCCCTCACTGTACCCAGGTGGATTGCTCACTCTTTAAGAAGAGGGATGTGGTGGTGTTGGGGAGGGAAGAGGAGCACTTGTTGGGTTTGAGAATCCCTCTGTGGGGGATTAATCACCCTCAATTATGCAACCGCTTGTTGTCAGCGTGGTGAGTGACCTAGAGCTCCCTGGTCATTGCCGTGTGACACTCGGGGCGCTTCCAGCCTCCCTCACCCACGACTTGCTCCTACACAGTCTGACACAGCCTTTAAAGTGCCCCATGCTGCATTGGGTTAGTCTGGGTAGACTGTAGAGAAACAAAACTCATGGACACTCCTATGTGTGTAAGAGAGAACTTTATATACAAGAGCAATTGAGTACTGAGAAAACATCCCAGCCTAGTCCAGATCCAGTCCATCAGTCTGATATTATCCCGTATGTCAAGACTAGTCCATAAATCCTTCTTCAGACTCACGCAGCCATGCAATGACACAAATGCAGGAATTGCACAGGCCAGGGGGTGGGAAGTCTTGTGCATCCGGTGGTGGTGGAAGCACCTCAGCACTGGCAGGGTCTCCACGTGGCTCCTCCAGCTCCAGGGCTCTGGATCCATCAGGGTAGCTCCATGTGGCTTCTCATCAGGAATGTCTCCCAGGACTGAGCTTGTGTCCCGCCTCCAGCAAGCTACTTACCTCCTTAGTGTCTCCAAATGAGGGCATCAAGGTGCAAACTGATTGACAGGCTAAACTCCATCCCTTCACTCTTAAGTCTCAAATTGACACTAGATTATGTAACTACCACAGACTACCCCTTGTCAATTTGACACTTTCGTACCACCATTTAGCCACTTTTAATTTTCAAACAATAAGAAAATCATATCTGTACCTAACAGGATAAAACTAAAATGCATGCAATTTAATATGTGCCACATAACATTCTGTAAGTGAGCAAAACAAAAATATCCTATGCCTAACGATTGTAGTTAAGTAACACCTACACTATAATCCTATGACTATATTCCCCCACCTATGAAAATTTGCAAGCCAGCCACTTCATGCCTTTATCCTCCCCATTTTGGGCATTCAATTTCTATACTGCCCACTTACATCAACCCAGTGCTCTTAGGAGACAGTCATAATTTTTGACGTGAAGAATCTTCATTTGGAACCTTGTGAATCCACATCCATAAGCAAAGCCAAATCAAGACAGGCCGTCCATAAAGTCTGCAGCAACACGCACCAGTTCACAGGCTCAACATCCTTCTCTTCACCTGGTCCGGTCTGGCCAACTCAATGTGGGCTGCTTTACCAGGGTGCCCATTGGTCATCTTGCCTTTAGACCATGGCCCCCTCACGCTAGGTCATGAACTTCAGACCAGTCAACCTGTTCTTGTCCTCTTCTCTCTTTCCCGTAAACCAGGCCCACAGGTGTCCGTGCCAAACTCAACCCATCCCCTTACTGCTGCGTTTACCCCACTTCCACTCAACAGGTGGATCCAGGTGGTCACCTAGCAAGCATTTCTGCCTGCCCACGGGCTCCCTTTCACGTTCGGTCCCAGAGAGGGGTTTTCTCCATGGTTCCAGGTTTGGGACACCACCTTCTGCCAAATCACCGTCTTGCTCTAGCAGCCTCCTCCGAGTTAGACTGAGTCGCCCGGTTCTCTGCAAAGCCACTGCCCCCGAGGTGTTGGTTCCAGCAATAAACACCTTTCGTATGCTAATATACAATGTTCTTTCTGCTTTCCTAGCAAAGCCCTTTTTATCATTAGCCTCAGAAACAGCATTCCATAAAGACTGAGCCGAGCCTGTTTTACTGCTCTGTTATTTGTAACGCTCCTCCATTGAGTGATCCGTGATGGGAATCAGGCTGTCTCTGCCAGTGAGGTGGTGACTGGCTAGCATGGTTTCAGCTCAGTTCCTCTAAGCGGCTGAGTGTGTTGGTGATAAGATGCGGTCAGCATGAAGAGCCCTGTGCAGATAAAGCATCTTTCGGATTGGGCACCCAGATCAAGCACTCTGTGAGCGAATGTGGAGCCTGAACTGCACCCAGGCGTTTGAGACGAAAAGTTGGCTCAAAGGCTGTGCATTGCGAGTACATTCCAGTGATGAGAACGCTACTGCCCAGTTCTGCTGGTGTGGAAGGAGTGGTTGGGGCCATTGTGCTCAGGCTGTGTGCCTACAGCAAATCAAAGCAGGGCATTTCCCTCTGCACCCAGTGGTTTCCAGAGGGGAAGACACACGTCCTAACAAAGTCTCTACGCAGTGCCCACATCTCGCCTCCCAAATGAACACCTTAGTGTTGCGTAGGCTCCCGTGAAATTCAAGTTCAAATGAATGAGAACAGTGTGCAGGGTAACCGTCGTGTCCCAAGGAAGCCCACGTTGTGTTCACTCACATCTGAACCTGTGGGGGCTGCTCTCGGGCGGAATGTGTAGCACCAGGCTGAGAAGGACCAGAGACAGCTCCTGGTATGCCGCTTCCTCTCCCCAGGGACACATGGAAGGAGAAGTCTGGGGGCTGGCAGCCCACCCGCTCCTGCCCATCTGCGCCACTGTGAGCGACGACAAAACGCTCCGGATCTGGGAGCTGTCGTCCCAGCACCGCATGCTCGCAGTACGGAAGCTCAAGAAAGGTGAGTGACAGCCGCTCGCTCTACAAACACCAGAAGGCGTCGGATTCGTCCGCGCATTCCACAGAGAGTTCTTGGTGGTGGGAGTCGGGGCTGTGGGCATTCAGCGTTGGCTGCTGGAGCTCCTGTGAGCTACTCCAGGGCAGTCTGACCCAGGGACCCATGCCAGTGTTCATCTTCCCTGAGCTGCACAGACGTCTGCCACCTGGGGGCAGTGTGTCCTTCCTCTTCTCCTGGAGAGTGGAAACACTGTGTATCTATTTTTATGTCCGGCTGTCTCCAGAAACCATTTCCTTCCTGAAAATGGAGGCTGAGCTCCGTGGAGACAAAAGGATAGGTAGGGTCAAGAGCGGATGTAAATAGATGTTGAATAGAGATCTGTCTGTCTTGGAAGGAGGACAGCCAGAGTGCCCTTTAGAACGAGGGCGATGAGACTTGGTCTCACGTACTTTGGACGCGCTGTCAGGAGAGAGCAGTCCCTAGAGGAAGGCGTCATGGTGGGGACAGTGCAGGGGCAGCGGGTCAAGGAAGGCCCTCGATGAGATGGGTGGGCACAGGGGCTGTGGCCCAGGACTGACAGGGCTTTGCTCTGTTGTAGATGGGGGTCACTTTGGGTTGTAGCCAACCCGACGGCATGGCACATGACAACAACCAAACAAATGTAATGGATACGTGCTCCCTCACTCCCTCCCTGCCACCCAGCCCATGCTGGCTTATAGCGATCGATCCTATAGGGCGGGTAGAACTGACCCTGTGGGTTTCCAAGAATGTAATGGAAGTAGAGAGCCCCATCTTTCTTTTTGTAGTACAAAGTATATGTACTACAACACACACACACACACACACACACAACTAAGCACACCCACAGCCATCAAGTGGATACCAACTCATAGTGACCTTGCTCCTGTAGGTTTCTGACCTTGAAGCCATTTACAGGAGCCAACAGCCTATCTTTCCCCCAGAGTGGCTGGTGGGCTTGAACCACTGACCTTGAGCCATGCAAAGCTCCTTGGTCTATGCATTCGAACACGAAGCCACTAAGAGGCACAGACTCAGCAAATACTCCGGGTGCTTTCTCTGCGTCGGCACTGCGGCTACCGAGAAGAGCAGAATCATCAGTGAGACAGTTAATGTCTATTGTGCCAACCTGGCCAATAAACACATGTGGGGTTAATAGAAGGGCAGTGAGATAAATGGCTCAGTGAGCCTCACCTTTCGAGTTCTCAGGTCTCTTGCTTTGTGATGGTCGGACCAGGGTGCAGCTGCCTAAGCCAGTTCCCTGCTTCAGCTGGCAAGACTCACTTCCTGTGAAACATCCCTGAGGAGAAGCCACATGGACCTACCCCAATGCAGCCCTGGGTGCTGGAGTAGCTGTGTGGAGACCCTGCCAGCACTGAGATGCTTACACACTCACTGACTCCACTTTTCTCTTGCAGTCAGCTTCATTTCGTGTGTTTTCTGAGATGGAGGAGGACTATGTGCATTGATGTCAGACATATGGGCTAATGTTGGACTTGTGGACGTGGGCAGCACTGGGTTGGGGTGTTTTCTTGATGCGCACTTACCCTTTATATAAAACTCTCTCTTATACATGAGTTTCTGTGGATTTGTTTCTCTAAAGTACCCACACTAACTCAATTAGAGATGGACATGATTTGAGCAGAATCCCAGAAACCAAGGGCCCATTAAGTTTGGGTAATTTGAGGAGAGGCTGCAAAAGGGACTGTTCATAAGTGGTCGGCTGGACGGATGGAAATGACCAAGGATAATGGCGCATGATGCACTTAGTGATCGCTGTGTGCCACTAGCAGCCCTGAGCCCAGAGGACAAGGAGAGGAACCCCAACCCTCTGCCCTCCCTCCACCCTGACCCCCCTCCAGCCTCCTGCCCATACTCCCTTTCCACCAACCACAAGAGAGAGGACCCGGAAAACAGACCAGCCTCCGTGCCTCCGACCGGGACGGGGAGGAGCGGGGTCGGAGAGACAAGTGGAAGATGGGGCACTAGTCAGGGGCTGGAGGAGGGTGGATCCATCTGTGCATGACGAGAGAGGTACAGGTTCTGTGTCTGCAGGAATTCTTAAGACAGGATGAGATCGGACTCCGGCCTGAACACCGAGGTAGAGGTGTATGGGGAGTTTATTACAGGGACAGAACACGAAAACGCGCCAGGGCATTAGCAGCACTGCTGATGCTGGCTCACAACGCTGCCTGGGGTCTTCACGCTCCGCCCACATGCTGTCAGGAGAGGCCGTCCTGGAGAAGGGCAGCAGCATGGTCACGCTGCGGGGCAGGGAGAAAGAGGAAGGCCCGGTGAGATGAACTCGAACAAGAGGATGGCGCCGGACCCGGTGGGCTTGGTTCCGACGTATGCAGGTTCGCTACGAATCAGAACCACGTAGAGCAGTGGTTCTCAACCTTCCTGATGCCGCAACCCTTCAGTGCAGTTCCTCATGATGTGGTGACCCCCAACCATAACATTATTTTCGTTGCTACTTCATCACTGTAATTTTACTACATGAATCAGGTGACCCCTGTGAAGGGGTCATTCAACCCCCAAAGGGGTCGCGACCCATGCGTTGGGAACTGCTGGCCTAGAGGGACCTAACAACGACAGTGTTGACATCAGCAACGAGGAGAGACCTTTTCGTGACCTCTCCCGGATTAGGAAACTGAGGCTTCAAGAATTTCAGAAGTTGGCATACAGTTGTGCAACTAGGGAATGGTGAGACTGCATTCGAACCGGACAGCATGGCTCCAGCGAGCACACTCAGAGTGCCCGGCATGCAGAGCACTGCTTCCCTCTGCCAGCCTCTTCTCCTGGCACCAGACTTCCGAAACAGGATTCAAACCCAGGTCTGACTTCCAAACTCATCGACTTAACCGGCCCCAGATTGAAAGATGCTGACGGCCGTGTGTTGTAGGGAAATGATACCCCAGGTGTCCGTTGGATGTGGAGAATTTGCATGTCGGTCAATGGTCTGTTCAATTGGCTCAGCAGGTCGCAAAGACAGCGACGGACATGTCTTGGACAGAAAGTGGTGCTGGCAGTCTTGGCCCATGATTGCGAGTCTCACGCTAACTGTCGAAAGTGCCCTGGTGTGGACCGGACTGGTTACCCTAGTCTTGAAGACACCCCTCAAAGGCACTCTTGTCTTTGTGTTCCTTCAGGACTAGCGCTCTGTCAACTCTTCAGAGGTAGATAATGTTTGCCAAGTGACTCGGTGAAGACCCAGGAGAAGTGACCGGTGGGAGACTCGCTCTCTGCGTGCACACCATGATCGCTGCACAGAGGGGTTGATAGGAAAGATCCGTGATTGCAAACGCCTGCATTAATGTCAAATCCCTGGCTGCATTTACTAATGTCGTCACAATAAGAATTAGTGTGTGTGGGGAGGGGGGTATATTTTAAAATGAGATTCCTACTCAACACCCCCCCCCCATGTCTATAATCTTCCCCCAGAAATGCCCATCCCACTGCCATGAGTTGCTCTGACTCTCTAGGACAGGAGAGCTGGTCCCCAGGGTGTCCGCGGCTGCGAGTCTTGACGGAAGTGGACTGCCTGACCTTTCTCCGGCAGATAGAGGCTGGTGGCTTTGAACCCCTGACTCCTCATCTCAGAGGCTCAGTGCTTGACCCCTGCGCAACCTGCTCTCCTTCCCACGCCTAACGAGCAGTGGAAATCACCACCCCTGCTGCCCCGTCAGCATGGTGTTTCCGTGACAGAGAGACAGGAGGAGAATCCCGCCCCCTCATCCACAGACAACAGAATGAGATGGCGAACAGTCCGACGACCAAGGCCTCTCCCGCAAGGTTCATGCCTAAGGCTCGGCACCCCGCCAGGGGTTTCTGGAAATCTGATTCCGCAGCTCACCTCGGTCTAGATCACCGCGCTCTCAAAAGCAAGATGCTCTTTTACTCCTTCTCTCTGGCCTTCGCTCATTCCACCTGTCTCCAGAGAACCTCCGTTTCCTAGAAAATAAGAAACGAATGGCCAAACTGTACAGCAGTTTTGAAAAGTGTATTTTTTTACATTATGGCCATTTTCCTTGGATTTGGGAAGATGCTGCTGCTGCTGCGGTTGTTGTTGTTGTTGTTGCAGCTGCTGTCTAGTCAGCTCCATCCCATAACAACCTCATGCCTCACAGAATAAATCACCGCCGGGCCTGCACCGTCCTCACAATTGGTCTTCTACCTGGGCCCGTCGTCTCGGGCACAGTGCCCATCCTCTCCTTGAGGCCCTTCCTGTGTCAGTGCCCCTCTGCTTGACCAGGTGGGATGCCCTTTTCCAGGGACTGGTCTCCTGACAACGTGTCCCCAGTCCATAAGACACAGTCTGGAGGCTCCCTCCCATGGTGCTCACAGTGCCGTGCTAGGTAAAAGCTACCGTTGGGTGCCAGGGTGCCAATCTGCCCTCCTCTTGGCGTGGTTGGCCTGCCTGCAGGGCGCGGGTCCTCACTGTGTCCCTTGGCTTTCTTTTAGGCGGAAGATGCTGTGCCTTCTCCCCCGATGGGAAGGCCCTGGCCGTCGGCCTGAACGACGGCAGTTTCCTGGTTGTGAATGCTGACACAGTGGAAGACATGGTCTCCTTCCACCACAGAAAAGAGATGATCTCAGATATTAAATTCTCAAAAGGTGACGGTGACCACCAGTGCTATAAGCAATAATATTGTCCTGGGATTGAAAACAAAACAACACTTTGAAGAGAAGGCTTTTTTTT